TATGTATTTTGCTAAATTATAGATAAACTTGAGGGGTCTGGATGGCATTCAAGGGCCTGTTTATGTTGGTACGGGATGTGTCTTCAATAGAACAGCATTATATGGATATGAACCTCCACTTAAGCCTAAGCATAGAAAAGAAGGGGTGCTCTCTTCTCTTTGTGGAGGTTCTCGGAAGAAGAGTTCAAAATCAAGTAAAAGGGGATCGGACAAGAAGAAATCTGGCAAACCTGTTGATCCTACTATGCCAGTATTCAGTCTAGATGATATAGAGGAGGGTGTTGAAGGTAAACTGTGCTCTTCCTTGTCTTTTAAGTGGTGATTATTAGTTTCATGTTTTTTTGGCCAAATGAGGAAAAGTCCCATACATATCATACACATGTGAAATCAGGTGCTGGATTTGATGATGAGAAGTCGCTACTAATGTCGCAAATGAGCCTGGAGCAACGTTTTGGTCAGTCTGCTGTTTTTGTTGCCTCTACACTTATGGAGAATGGTGGTGTCCCTCAGTCTGCTACCCCAGAAACACTTCTTAAGGAAGCAATCATGTTATCAGCTGTGGATACGAGGACAAAACAGACTGGGAAGTGAGGTAAGTTTCTCCTTTCCTTTATTCATTGCAACTGAAATGTTTACAACAGTGTGATTCCTTTGCTTGTAAAATGATTGCGGGATTCCGTGGCTATTGAAGTTATGTTGTAATGTATGAATATTTAAACTACCAGAAACACTTCTTAAGGAAGCAATTCATGTTATCAGCTGTGGATACGAGGACAAAACAGACTGGGGAAGTGAGGTAAGTTATCTCCTTTCCTTTATTCATTGCAACTGAAATGTTTACAACAGTGTGATTCCTTTGCTTGTAAAATTGATTGCTGGATTCCGTGGCTATTGAAGTTATGTTAGTAATGTACTGAATATTTAAAATTATTGCTTTTGGGCTTGTTTTGAGTATAATATAATAACCAATAAAGTGGTATAGATGAATATGAGCTTGTTTTGGGTGCAATTTTGTGTCCCTAGATCAGTGACTATCTGTGTTTTTGAAACTCAAATTTGAATTTTATAAATATGTCGTCATTCTGGGTAGTTGAACAAATGCTTGCTTCTATTTCATTTTAAATTTCAATTTTTGTTGCATGTGCAAGATTGTTTCTTGCCCTCAATGAGTATGTTTTTGTTTAATCTTCTTAAAATCTTGCCTTTCAATCTGCCATAATGAGTTAAATTTTCATTGTTTTCTTTTGCCTGCAGATTGGATGGATCTATGGTTCTGTTACAGAAGATATTCTTACAGGATTCAAAATGCATGCCCGTGGTTGGCGGTCAATTTACTGCATGCCAAAACGCCCAGCATTTAAAGGTTCTGCTCCTATTAATCTTTCAGATCGTCTGAACCAAGTGCTTCGATGGGCCCTTGGTTCTGTGGAAATTCTTTTAAGTAGGCATTGCCCTATCTGGTATGGTTATGGTGGTAGGCTGAAGTGGCTTGAACGGTTCGCATATGTTAACACTACCATCTACCCAATCACCGCTATTCCTCTTCTCATGTATTGCACATTGCCTGCTGTGTGTCTGCTCACTAATAAGTTCATTATCCCACAGGTTAGTCTTTTCTACATAATTCATGTTTCATTTGCATATGTGCACATAGACGATTGGATGGGTTGGGTCAATTCTGTGTTCGGGTCATTTTGGATTTGGACAAGGCAAGTTATTTAGGAGTGGGTGATTATATGTTCTTCTTTCCTTTTAATTTTTAGATTCAAAGCATATTAAACTTACTATTTGTTATGGTGAAATCTACAAGTTGGCGCATTTTATGTTAATTTCTGTTTGATTTGTTATGACTGCAGATTAGTAACATTGCAAGTATATGGTTTATATCCCTCTTTCTTTCCATCTTTGCTACTGGTATTTTAGAAATGAGGTGGAGCGGTGTAGGAATCGATGAGTGGTGGAGAAATGAACAGTTTTGGGTTATTGGTGGTGTCTCAGCTCATCTTTTTGCTGTTTTCCAAGGGCTTCTCAAAGTTCTTGCCGGCATCGACACTAACTTTACGGTTACCTCAAAAGCATCATGAAGACGGATTTTGCTGAACTTTACATGTTCAAATGGACGACCCTTCTCATCCCTCCGACCACTCTACTCATTATAAACTTGGTGGGGGTGGTTGCAGGAATCTCCTATGCCATCAACAGTGGTTATCAATCATGGGGACCTCTCTTCGGTAAGTTGTTCTTCGCCTTCTGGGTGATCATCCATCTCTACCCCTTCCTGAAGGGTCTGATGGGACGGCAAAACCGGACACCGACCATCGTTGTTGTATGGTCAATTCTGCTTGCCTCCATTTTCTCTTTGTTGTGGGTGCGGATCGATCCATTCACCACTAGAGTTACCGGGCCAGATGTACAACTCTGTGGAATCAACTGTTAAGTTCATAGAAAGCTGCAAATAGGACAGGTGAGAATGAATTATGATATTGCTGTCTTTAATTACATCTTGTGTAGAAGAATATAGGTGGTATGGTATTACTTCGGACATACCTTATGGTTAGGCCTCTGGAAAATACTGGTATTTGTTCTAATATATATATGTATATATACGCATATACGATCTGGAGTGTAGAAGTACCATGGAGTCTATTAATCTATTTCTAATTAAAATACAAGTTAGTACCACTGATCTGCCTTTGTTTATGGTATTAGAAAAAACCTTTTGATTGCCCGAACGACTGTTTAATAGATAAGTTCCATTTTGGTTGTAATTTATACATGTTGCTTGAAGCTGTGATTTATACACCGATTGGCTCTCCGGCACGATAAAATTAGTACCACTGCCAAACAAGCTCATGATCCCTACAAAAACAAACCGACTTCAGGTTTCTTCCAGACATTTCCCCCCCCCCCCCCCCCGTTCTGCATGTCATGATCCTTGCAAAAACAAACTCATCAACTGCTGAATGAAGACTACTCGGCTCTAAATTTGCTAGAAACTTTTCTTCATTCAATTTCAAAGTCTGATTCACCAGCTTCCCAAAGTAGCATGCACCTGAGATATGCTTTCATCTTCACTAACCACGTGATAACTTTCGCCATTAAATGTTGGTGGGCAATAAATACTACTATTCTTAGCCATCCAGCTTTCAAGTTGTACTGGTTTTTAAGTGAGGTTTCCTTGTTTCCCATAGTATTAATTTAGGGTTGTAGTCACAAATATGATTGTGAATCTTATGGATATTACTGAATTATTTTTTAAAAATAATGATGTTTTTAAATTATAGATTAAATTATAATACCATGATGACCTTAAGGGGGTGATTCGATCATGGAATTCAAGATTTTTGGTGGGAATTTTTTTTTCTAAATTTAAATTCCCACTTTTGGATGGAAAATATTGCCAATAGGGAGTAATAAAATATTCCGAACAATAAAAAATTTCTTCTTTTTACCGGGAATGTTAATCTCATGTTTTTTTAGGTATTTTTTTGTTTCCCTTCAACTTGGACTAAAATGCCCTTGAAACAAAAGATTTGTTTCAAAAATATCCTTACTTTTATTTCAAAAGCTATAATCTTTTGTTTTCACAAATTTATTTCAAAAATTTATTTTCACAAATTATCATAACTTTTTAAATATTAATTAAGTTTAAAAGAATATATGGTATATTTACTCTTTTAATATGCCCATTTATCTTTTAAATATTGTAAAAAAATTATATAAATTTTATGAATTTAAATTTAATAAAAATATATATAAATTGAAAATAATACAATAATATATTTTCTATGAATTTTTATATAAATATTTTCATTTAAATATTTGGAATTCAACTTGTTAAAAAAATATCATAAGGACAATTTAGTAAAATATACATTCCAGTAATCTTTTATTCATTTAACCAAACACTGTAATCATACATTTCTGTCAAACAAACCAAACACAATAATGTAACATTCCCGGTAATGTGTAAGGTAATGTAATATTCCGGTAATCTTATTCCCGAAGATAATGTTACATTCCATGAACCAAACACCCCCTAAAAGTTATGATGCAATTCCATCACATACCATTCAAATACATTACAAAATATCATAAACAAAAAGAAGAGAAAATTGATGCATAGATTGAGGGATGACATGGGAGGGTGTTGGATTACGGTTGTATTCCTAAAAAAATTAAATTATCGTATGTTTTATATATTTTTTAATAATTTAATTTTGTATTCTTTAAATTTTTTAAATATAATTTTTTAAATATTTATTTTTAACATAAAGTCATGTATCATCCCTTTTAAATTGTATTAGTAATTTGATCATGTACAGTAGTCTTAATCAGCTGCGAATTGGTGTATTATATGTTGAATTGCTGTATTGCAGATGACTATGATTGCTAGTATATATGATCTATAACTCCCTCTTCTCTTTCCGTTTTTGCTACTGTTATTTTTGTGCTGGAATTTATAAGTGGTAGAGAAACGAAGACGGTTGGGTTTTTGGCGGTGCCGTAGCGCATGAATTTTCTCTAAAGTTATAATTATACACCGTAACTGAAATGCACTTCAGTAGAGACTATAGGTCGTATGATATCTTCTTTTATAAGGAGTGTGATGTAACATTTTGGACATGCCTTATGGTTACAGCCTCTGGAAAATACCGGTTCTCGTACAACTAAAATACATACATACATACATACATACATACAACAAACAGCAGCTACGGTATGCAGTGCCACGTGTTCTCTTCATACTCATTGCACGTCATGTAAATTCATCAATTAACATTATCCATCTTGAATATGGTTATCGTCCCCACTGCTCAAACACGTGCTACACTCCGGTCACGACACATGTTACAGTTTGCTAGCAAACTCCCACGTGTAATCATATATATATATATATATATGGTTTTTAATAGTCTCTTACATTATATATCACAGTTGGTTTTAAGGTCACCAAATTCATTCCTCGTGAAACCAAAACTTTCTTTGTTTTGATGGATATCATTGGCGAAGAACCGGTTCTGTCTTAGACTAGATCGACTAGACAACATGGTATGGTATTTGGTTTTCCATTTCCATGCATGCTGCGTCACATTAATTAGTTACTTGTTAAGATTAGATATGAGTAAGGGTTCGAATTAATTATTTGAACTTCAATAGACGACACTTCAAAGATTTTTCTTGTCGGATATTTCTCGTAATACTGTATTGTTACCCGTTAACTTATATAACACGAATATTTTGATGATCACAGCTAAGGCAGTTGGAGGAAATAAGAGGGGGCAATAATAATAGCAATTACAACAGGATTCACAGCCCCAGGGGCTCAGGTGCATCAACCCCATCAAGTGGAACGTTGAGCAGCACATGTACAGACGGTCATCCATCGTCAGTCGATTTCTCGCCTACCGCTAAGACTCTGGAGAAGTACTGCCGTCCGATGGATCATGTGATAGTGGAGACTCAGGTGAAAGGAACGCTCATTCAAAGGCTGGAACAAGCAGAGGATCGCATACTTAAGGTGCATTATAATTATTTTTTGGAACAAACTTTGACAAAAGTAAAATCTCTGGCTTACGATTCATGTGACTTGAAACCACCACAATCAGGCAGTTCCTATTGGTCGAAGCTACTGACGTTGGTTAGTCAATTGTATTCAAGGTCGTGGCTAGGTTGTTAGAGGTCTCGTGCAAATTCTTATAAGGAGGCCCTTAAATCTCGAACTTATTTTTCTGAAGTAATAAATGACTAATTTTATTGACTTAAAAAACCTATTCTGGGACACTGTAAATTTGAATTTGTTTTTCTCAAAAATAATTTTGATTATTAACGAGATTCGAATTTAGGATCAACAAAGTTATGGACCCAATGATCTAACCACTGCTCTATACATATTTTTCTATTTCTTAATGATAATCACGGATAGATATACTCTATTTCGGGGTCTTGTTTTTTGAGGCCGCCGTGCACTTAGCGCATGCTCAGCCATGCCCCTAATTGTATTAACCAGTGATGTTTTGAAACAGCTGTGTGTGAAGTTGGAGGAAGAATTAGATGAAGAGAAGAGGAGGCAAGCGGCTCACGTAGAGAAGAAGGGGATCAAGCAATTCGTGAAACAATGTGTCGTAGGGAAACACTCGCAACACAGACGGACGGAATGGAAAGTAGGCAAAATAAAATAAATATATATATATATATATATGTTTACCGTGCATGAACGTTTCTTTCGGTTGTTTTTTGGCTCCCTTCAACGGGTGTTTTTTTGGGGGGGGGGGGGGGGGGGGGCTTACTTTTAATGGCTGCCTTGACTTATAAATTCCTTTAGCTGTTGTATCTTTAGAAAGTGGGTTTATTTGTTCAACGTTTGAGGGAGTGATGAGGATAAATAACCAATGATTTCAGACCATCTGGCTATGAATCTTACCGCACAATTGAAGGCATTAAAGCATAAAGCCAACATTCATGTGGCATAATTTCCAACCTCATAATTCATATCATATAAAAACAACTATTTTATATTATAAAATAAATAAACATAAATTCCAGTTTAATTACGCATTGTTTTTACATTTATGAACCATAATTGATTTCATTGCTACAATGCAATTCAACTCTTAATTTGGTGGAAATTTGTACAAGCCCACACATGATAGCCAAGCAACCAAATCAATAATGAATGACGAATACGATAACGACTTCGAGCACAACAATTAGAGCTCTCAGAATTCCAAAAATGGCATTAACCTTCTCAGTCTCCCCAATTAAAATTCCCATCTAAAGATATAAATAGTTTGGGGTGTAGAATCTACTTCCCCATTTCTCTCTCTCTCTCTCTAAATTTGGATTATTTAAAGATTTTTTCCCCGAAATAGTCGATTTTTTTATCACCGTAAAAAAACACAAGCCATTCTCCTATAAAAGGATGAAAGTTAAGCACCACCAGATCCATAGTTCTTTCCGAACACAATGAGCTGCAGCTTGTCGTATCCAGCAAGCACACCAGCAACGGCAATGGCACGAAGGATGTTAGCTCCAGCACCTTTAAAGAGAGACTTGGCACCCTCATTCTTCAATATCTGAGAAAATGCATCGAGAGAGCTCTTGTATTTCACTGCTTCACCAGATGTCATCATCATTCTTCTACGAACAGTGTCGATCGGGTACGATGCAAGCCAAGCACCGTTAGTGATCAGCCAACCAAGGGCAAAGCTAGCAAAGAAACTATCCTGTAATTATCAGAGGGAAACAGATGTCATTACCACATTGCAATGGATCGATGGCACAGTCGTGAGGTGAAAAACATCCTACAAAATGTAAATTTAGACATCATACGAACCTGCATATTTCCAGTCAGAACCACAGGCTTCAAGGAGTCGTACATTCCAAAGTACAGAACCCGATAAACGATGATTCCGACACAAGAAATATTGAAACCACGTTAAAGGCCAGCAATACCATCGGATTTTAAGGTCTTCTTGTAGACATCAACAAGGCCATTGAATTGCCTCTCCCCTCCCTTCTTCGCAGCCTTCGCATCATTGGCAAGACGGGTTCGATCATAATCCAAGGAGTAGACGAAGAGAAGGGAAGAAGCACCCGCTGCACCTCCAGATGCCAAGTTTCCGGCAAACCATTTCCAGTAACTATCTCTGTCTTTCTTAAAGTTGAAAAGCCTCTTGAAGTAATCCTTGAAAGCAAAGTTCAATGCCTGTTGCAAAATGAACAAAAAAAATAAAGCATAAAACAAGTGAGCAATATATGATATTCAACACCAAAACCAATGAGAAGAAATAGAGCTACAAGTACCAACCTAAGTGGGGAAATAACGTATAACATTAGCGGTGCTTCCTCTCCACAAAGAAACGAATCCTTCGTCTTTGATTGTTCGCTTGAAACAATCACCGATGCCCTTGTAGGGTTCAGAGAGCCTGCTAGTTTTGATCATTTCATCCTGGTTCTGTATCAAAAGTTTAACACGCTCGATTGGAGCAGCAGCGGTTTTAGATACAGCATCAGAAACACCACCCATTAGAAAATCAATAGCAAAGCTGCTAAATCCTTTCTCAGCAGGAGCTTGAACACAAATGGCAGATGCTGTTGATGGAGACATGTGCTAGTCTCCGGTGGCTCCATAAGTACGAACACTAGGAAAGCCCATTGCAGCACTGGAATAATTCCCATATGCAAACCGTCTTTGGTATAGAGCTGGCCTCCTGAAAGACCCATCACACCCTTGACCGTCTCCGGAAAGGCTAGAAGAAAGGAGCTGGCCTGCTACTTTCTGCATGACAGTTGGGGGTTGGACGTGATCCATTCTGACTTCCCTGCAAGAAAGCAAACGAGCACATAAACAAAGAGTATAATGAGAGAAAATTTCAAATGTGTTTCTCCAAATTAGACAAAACATCTGCAAACAAACATATCAATGATTCAATTCATCCATGTCAGCTACAGCAACTAAGTCCGGTAAAATATAAGTCCATGATTACATGTGAGCAATGCCTTTGTAACAGGTAAAATGCAAAGATGCAAGAAAGTAAATTGACATGACATCCTGCAGGTGTTATCACTCACACTCTATTCTTGCAGAAGGAAAGATACTCATCAATTCAATAACTTAATCATCACATCAATCCTAAGCAGAAGGCAAGTAATAAACACTGTCGGAGAAAAAGAAAAGCAAACCAAATGCCTAAACACAGTCTCAATCAAGTTTTTCTCCTAAATCATCCTCCAAATGACTAATATAATAAGTAACCTAGCATGTATATAGATAGCTACGCTACTACATTATCCATTATTAACCAAGTTACAATCGGAAGGAAGTGAAACAAATTATTTAAAAAAGCAAAATTCTAGATCGCCTAAAAGTAAAGCAATGCAACTAACGATACTAAAATGTTTGCCAACACAGATGCAGCGATTATAAATAAAATCAATCAAAAGATCCGCAGAATCCAACTGCAATTTAGGATTGAATATCAGTCATACAGAATTCCACACCACCGATTGACAATAAAAGAGCAGCAAACAACGATAGATCTAACAGAAGCCTAAATATCTTTCAACGGAATAGAAAACCCCGTATTGAACAGATCAAATGCGGTACAATTTATTTCAAAACAAATCAAATCCAAAGGAGCACAAAATAAACGATCTAAAAATCACATACAGTAAAATAAAACCGGAGTAAGAGTGTATATCTAACAGAATAAGAAAAAGCCAAAACAAATAACATTGGATCTGATATTTTTAGGATGATCTTAGAGAGAGATAATTACCTTTGAGAAGAGCGTGAGACAGATTTGTTGAAGGTGTCGACTGATATTTTTGTGGAGTAAGAGTCTTCCACACGGGAGAGGGGAGGGATTGAAAATAGCACTATTGCTCCATTTTTATTGGCGCTGTCTTTGTGTGAGTGGGAGGCCAAGGCCCATATATGTTAATTTTATAATATTTTTTAATTTTCAAATATCTTCCTTTTCACTTTTTAAAATATTTTTTAAAAAATAAAATGAAAATGTCTTAAGTCTTCTTGGTTGTCAAAAAATTAAATAACTAAACATTAATATTTTTGAAAAAAATGAATATTTTTTAACAAAAATGTTAAGAGTTTATTCTTAATTTAAACGCAAATAACTTAGAGAGACACATAAATAATTGATATTTCTTTTTAATCTTTATCACTTGCCATTTGGATTTTGGACTAATAATTTAGGAAGAATTTCATATATTCAGTCCACTGATGCACCACTTTATTCTTGGTATATGGGGTAATGGACCCTTAATATATCAAATTGGCTTGCTGCTGGCTGTTGCTACAGCATCTTCCTTTATTTTTTCCTTTCCTTTCCTTTCCTTTCCATTTGATGATCAATAAACAATATTTTGGACGAATATTTGAATAAAAAATAGGTAAATTTTTTAGGGTAAACTACATTGATAGTTACTACACTTTTAGAGTATTTTCACTTTGATCATCAAACTTTTAAAACTTGTGTTATTATCGTTAGATTTTTAATTTAATTTTATTATTATTACTATTACTATACTAGTTGTCGTTAAGAAATACTTACATATAATTTTAAAGTCGTCTTCTCTAAAATAAAACTATAATTTCCTAAATTTACTATCGTTGTAAAGGCCAAATGTTTTACGCAATGTTTTTAAAACCGGACCGGATCTTAAACCGGTGAAGGTATTGGTTCACTGATTCAACCGCGGTTGAACCGGTTTATATAAAATAATATTTTTTTAAAATTTTACATAATATTCAAAGCAATATTAATATATATATATATAACACTCTTTTTAAGTTCACAATATTAAAAGGTATAAAAATATCACAAGTCATAACATATATAAGTTAAATATCATAATATCAATTGAAACAAAATGATTCAAATCAACTACAACATAATATTTAAGGTCAATACCTAATGAAATTCATCAACAACTAAATAAAAAAGTACATAATTGATAAAATATTAATCATCGTAATATTCATTGAAATTGATTCCCTCAAATTCCAAAATATTGGAAAAAACTTCTTCATTAGTTGGACTACCACCGCCATCACCACTTTGAACTTGAAACTCCATAGCATCACTTTGAACTTGAAAGTCCACAACATCAAGATCTTCATCACCTAGCAATATGATAAATAAATACAAAATTAAATTTAAAGTCACAAACAATACTTAACAATTAAAAGTAAAAGTGTAAAACATATTAAATAATATATATAATTATATAACTAAAATAAACAAACACAGATTAACCTTAGGGATGGCAATATGACCCGAACCCGACGGGGAAACCCGAAACCCGGTCAAGATCTCGGGTCGGGTTGAATGATATCGGATCGGGTTCGGGTTCGGGGATATTTTTCGGGGATTTGTTCGGGTCGGGTTCGGGGCAAGGTATCACCGCCCCGACCCGCCCCGATTATATATATATATTTTATTTTTTTATTAATTATATATATAATATTTATATTTTTTTATATTAATTATATATAAAATATTTTCGGGTTCGGGTTTGGCATAATATTTCGGGTCAGGTTCGGGGACGGGGCAAAAAAAATCCCCGACGGGGTGCCCCGATAAAAAACCCGTCGGGGATCGGGTCGGGGTCGGGGTCGGGGACGGGGATTCATTTCGGGTTCGGGGACGGGGCGAGC